CAACAACCTACAAATAGACTTAGACTCCCACACAATAATAGTGGGAGACCTTAACACCCCACTGTCAATAGTAGACAGATCAATGATACAGAAAATTAACAAGGATATCCGTAGTTCAGGAATTCACATCTGGACCAAGCAGACCTAACAGACATTTAATGAATTCTCCACCCCAAAACCACAGAATATACATTCTTCTCAGCACCATCACTTATTGTAATATCAACCACATAATTGGAAGTAGAACACTCCTCAGCAAATGCAAAAGATGGAAATCATAACATACAGCATCTCAGACCACAGGGCAATCAAATTAGAACTCAGGATTAAGAAACTCCTTCAAAACCACACAACTATATGGAAACTGAACAACCTGCTCCTGAATGACTACTGGATAAATAATGAAATGAAGGCAGAAACAAAGATGTTCTTCGAAACCAATGAGAATAAAGATATAATGTACCATAATCTCTGGGACATATTTAAAGCAGTGCCTAGATGGAAATTTATGGCACTAAATACATACCAGAGAACCAAGGAAAGATATAAAATCAACACCCTAATGTTATGATTAAAAGAACTAGAAGAGGAAGGTCAAAAAATTCAAAACCTAGCAGAAGACAAGAAATAACTAAGATCAAAGCAGAACTGAAGAAGATAGAGATACAAAAAATCCTTCAAAAAATCAATAAATCCAGGAGCTGGTTTTTGAAAAGATCAACAGAACAGATAAACCACTAGCCAGACTAATAAAAAAGAAAAGAGAGGAAATTCAAATAAATGCAATAAAAAATGATAAAGGGGCTATCACTGCTGATCCCACAGAAATACAAACAACCATCAGAGATTACTACAAACACCTCTATGCAAATAAACCAGTAAATCTAGAAGAAATGGATAAATTCCTGGATACCTACACACTCCCAAGACTAAACCAGGAAGAAGTTGAATTCCTGAAGAAACCAACAACAAGTTCTGAAGTTGAGGCAGCAATTAATAGCCCACTAACAAAAATGTCCAGAACCAAACAGGTTTATAGCTGTGTTCTACCAGAGGTACAAAGAGGAGCTGGTACCATTCCTTCTGAAACCATTCCAAACAATACAAAAAGAGGGAATCCTTCCCAAATCATTTTATGAGACCAATGTCATCCTGATACCAAAACCTGGCAGAGACACAACTGAAAAAGAAAATTTTAGTTTTCTAAACCTGGGATCAAGTTGGCTTCAGCCCAGGGATGCAAGGCTGGGTCAACATCCACAAATCTAGAAACATAATCCATCACATAAATAGAACCAAAGACAAAAACCACATGATTATCTGAATAGATGCAGAGAAAGCCTTCGAGAAAATCCACAGCCCTTTATGCTAAAAACTCTGAATAAATAAACTAGTTATCAATGGATCACTTCTCAAAATAATAAGAGCTATCTATGACAAATCCAAGCTAATATCATACTGAATGGGCAAAAACTGGAAGCATTCCCTTTGAAAACTGGCACAAGGATGCCCTCTCACCACTCCTACTCAACATAGTTTTGGAACTTCTGGCTAGCACCAGCTGTTAAGAGAAACAGATAAAGTGTATTTAAATAGGAAGAGAGGATGTCAAATTGTCCCTGTTTGCAGATGACATGATTGTATATTTAGAAAACCCCACTGTCTCAGCCACAAATCTTTTGAAGCTGTTAAGACTCTTCAGCAAAGTCTCAGGACACAAAATCAATGCACAAAATGTACAAGCATTTATATTTACCAATAATAGACAAATAGCCAAATCATGAGTGAACTCCCATTCACAATTGCTACAAAGAGAATAAAATACCTAGGAACATGACTTATAAGGGATGTGAAGGACCTCTTCAAGGAGAACTACAAACCACTGCTCAAGGAAATAAGAGAGGACACAAACAGATGGAAAAACATTCCATGCTCATAGTTAGGAAGAATCAATATCATGAAAATGGCCCGAAGTAATTTATAGATTCAATGCTATCCATCAAGCTACCAATGACTTTCTTCACAGAATTGGAAAAAACCACCTTAAACTTCACATGGAACCAAAAGAGAGCCCACATAGCCAAGACAATCCTAAGCAAAAAGAAAAAACAAACAAACAAATAACAAAAAAAAACAAAGCTGGAGGCATCATATTCCCTGACTTCAAACTGTATTATAAGGCTACTGTATTCAAAACAGGATATACTGGTACCAAAAGAGAGATATAGATGAATGGAATAGAACAGAGGCCTTGGAGGCAATGCCACACATCTACAACCATCTGATCTTTGACAAACCTGAAAAAACAAGTAATGGAGAAAGGCTTCCCTATTTAATAAATGGTGTTGGGAAAATTCAATAGCCATATGCAGAAAGCTGAAACTGGATCCCTTTCTTACATCTTATAAAAAAATTAACTCTAGATGGGTTAAAGATTTAAACATGAGACCTAACACCATAAAAACTCTAGAAGAAAACCTAGGCAATACCATTCAGGACACAGACATGAGCAAGAACTTCATGACTAAAATACCAAAAGCAATGGCAACAAAAGCCAAAATAGACAAATGGGATCTAAGTAAACTCCAGAGCTTCTGTACAGCAAAAGAAACTATCATTAGAGTGAACCAGCAACCAACAGAATGGGAAAAAATTTTTGCAATCTACCCATATGACAAAGTGATAATATCCAGAATCTATGGAGAACTTAAACAAATTTATGAGAAAAATACAAATAACCCCACCAAAAATTGGAAAAAAAATGAACAGACGCTTTTCAAAAGAAGACATTTATGCAGCTAACAAACATTCAAAAAAAATCTCATCACTGGTCATTAGAGAAATGCAAATCAAAACCACATTGGGATACCACCTCACACCAGTTAGAATGGTAATCATTAAAAAATCAGGAGACAACAGATACTGGAGAGGATGTGGAGAAATATGAATGCTTTTTCACTGTTGGTGGGTGTGTAAATAAATTCAACAGTTGTGGAAGACAGTGTGGCAATGCCTCAAGGATCTAGAAATAGAAATACCATTTGATCCAACGATACCATTACTGGGTATATACCCAAAGGATTATAAATTATTCTACTATAAAGACACATGCACATGTATGTTTATTGTGGCACTGTTCACAATAGCAAAGACTTGAAACCAACCCAAATGCCCGTCAATGACAGACTGAATAAAGAAAATGTGGCACATATACACCATGGAATAGTATGCAGCTATAGAAAAACATGAGTTCATGTCCTTTTCAGGGACATGCATGAAACTGGAAACCATCATTCTCAGCAAACTGACACAAGAACAGAAAACCAAATACCACATGTTATCACTCATAAGTGGGTGCTGAACAGTAAGAATACATTGACACAGAAAGGAGAATATCACACTCTGGGGCCTGGTGGGCTGGGGGGATTGGGGAGAGATAGCAGGGAGTGGGGGAATTGGGGAGGGATAGTATTAGGAGAAATACTTAATGTAGATAATGGGGTGATGGATGCAGCAATCCACCACCATGGCAAGTGTATACCTATATAACAAACCTGCATGATCAGCACTTGTACCCCACAACTTAAAGTATAATAAGAACATTTCTTTAAAAAATTCTCTTCATAGAAATGAATTATTAAGAGTATGAGAAGCCAAAAACTAGATGAAGATAGACCCAATAATGTATTAATAGTTAGAACATATAAGGAGTTATTTTTAATTAAGAAAAATAAAAAATGTGATTGGACAAACACATAAATATATATTCAACATGTGAGAAAATATAAATTGCCAGTAACCATATGAAAAGTTTCTAGAGCTCATTAGAATTCAAGAAAATACTAAATATTAATAAAACTGTAATGAAATACCATTTTTTATCATTTGAGTAATTACTTAAAAGTCTGGAAAAATAGGTGTTGGCAAGAATATGGAACAAAGGGAACTCTCTTATTGTTGCTTGTAGGTGTATACACACTTAACAGATAATCTAGAAATCAGTTTGGTGATGCTCAGGACATTTGAGCATGCACATGATAGTAAGCAATACTACTTCCTGAGCAGTATTCCCTTGAGAAGGGCTTTACTTGGTCACCATGAGATACATACAAGAATATAATATTGCACGCTGGCTCAGTGATCTGTAATCCCATCATTTTAAGAGGCCAAGGCCAGTGGATTGCTTGTCAGGAGTTTGAGATCAGCCGGGCCAAGGTGGTGAAATCTTGTGTCTATTACAAATACAAAATTTAGCCAGGTGTGGTAGGACGTGCCTGTAATCCCAGCTACTCTGGAGGCTGAGGCACAAGCATCGCTTGAACCTGCAGGCAGATGTTGCAGTGAACCAAAATCACACTCCAGCCTGGGCAACAGAGCAAGACTCTGCCTAATATATATATACACACACACACACACACATACACACACGTTTATATGTGTGTGTATGTATATGTGTATATTTATTTATATGTATCTATGTGTGTGTATATATATATATATATACACATGTACATATAGGTATACAATATTGCTAAACTGTTTTATACATCAATAATTATCTTTTTGAGTTTGTGACAATTTCAAAATAAAAATAAAAATCCTCTCTTAAGTGAATATCAAATAATTCTGTCTAAAATTTTTACCCTCAACAATACTTTAAGAAAAAATAATCTTTAATTTTTCATGAAAATTGGCAATAATTACGAAATGGAAATTACTCAGTTGTACGCCCCAGTACCCTTGAATCTAGGTTTCATTATAAACCAGAAGTTTAATCCTATATTACTTAATAAGTTTTTGTCTTTTTTAACTGATAGAATAATACTAGTTAATTTAATATATTCTTAAGTTGGAATATTAGGTAAAAGATATAAAGGACTTAAGAAGACATCATGTTTTATAGGACAAGTTCTCCCATGTTTTTTTCCAATGGTTTCAGTAAACATCTTCTGTAGAACCATGATTATTAGAGTTCAGTGCATAGTAATGCCTCTGCTTACCAGCTGCTGCCCTTGGACACCCCAGGCTGCGTACTGCAAGACGGAGTCTTCTACTTCTGGAGGATTTAACTCCCAAACTTCCCTTGAAAAAAGTGAATATTTTTACATGAACAAAGTGATATCTACACCAACAGTTTATTAACACGATCGCTCATGAAAACCAGATAATCAAAGAACTTACCTAGTGTGTATGTTGTAAATCACATATGAAGCAGTATATGAATAATGAAAAATCTGAAATTAAAAAAGAAACATTATTGATCATAGCTTTAACAATGTGACTACATATATTCTTAGTAAAATCCAGGAAATCCAAGTATTGGGGTTAAGGAAAAATAAAAATATAAAATATTCTGCCTCAGAAGTTTATCACCCTCTCTGTGCTTTATGCTTAACTTTTCTTTCTAATATCAATTCCATTTCTTATTTAATCCACACTATCTTGAGTATAATTGTGATTATATTACTTTCTTGTTCAAAATTTTCAGTGATGCTCTATTGCCTGTAAAATAAAGTTCAAACTGCCTTATCTGGTGTTAAAGAATTTTGTTATTTTGGCTTCTACGTGTTTTTCTATACTTATCACCTACTGCCTCACTTTACTTATCTATACTTCAAATTAGATGGATTCTCCCTGTATGTCCTAAACTTTTTTAGTTTTTGCCCCAAGGACATTTATCTTAACTGAGGTGAAAATTCTACTTCTTTCTAATATAGCCCCTGTATGGAGCTCATATTGATTTCTTCTATTAAAATCCATCTCACACAGTTTCCTGCATGACTCTTAGGACATGTCTCACTCTGTAGTGAAATTATATAAACATTCTATATAAGAAGTCTCCTTCTCCCACTAGAATGTTGTCAGATACAGATGTCTATTGCATCCTCCACATTACCTTGCACAGTGCCATGTTTAAATGCATTCAACTGATATTTCTTAAGTAATGGCTCTGATGGAAAAAACTAATGCATGATGAAGTATTTGTTGGTGAAGTCAAAGTGAGATAATACTCTCCACACCTTTATAGCAATGATCGAAAATGACATATTAAGCAGATGGCTGCAAGTATGTAATATCTAAAAATCCCTGTTTCTTTTTTAAAGAGTATCTTTCCAAGGACTGCAGAACCTATGACCCATTAAATTTCAAACATAAGACTCTAGAGCATAATGCAAAAATACATCTATCTTTTGCTTCTTAATAATAAAAGACGATGAAATAGTGGAATACAGAGGAAATGAGGAAAATTGCAAAAGATGGTTTAGGAAAAGAAATGATGAGTATATTTCTGTGAGAATTATTTTTCTCTAAGCTATGTGAATCTAGTGAAGAAAATTGTTCTTTAGCTAGCTATATTGTTATACCATTATTTCCAGGACTTACAGAACTTTTATTGATACTTTCATTTTTCAGTATGCAAATGTAAAAGCTTCTTTTATTCTTATAGTGGATGTACACTGCACAAATAATACTGTCAATTAAAACTCCCTAGAAGTCAAACTGTTATTTCTTCTCACTGCAGTAATAGCTTCAATTAAATATGATTGGCCACATATTTGGCAAAGAAGTACTATGTTCTCTCTTTGCATTGAAATTGCAAACCTTCCACCATTTGTTAGAGTATTGTGTTTTACAATAAAGCTCTATGCTCCCATTCCTCTTGGAATAACTATTAAATGTGAGATTGCCTTTGTGATAGGGCTGTAGAAGCAAAAATAATTTTTCCTGGTGTCTACTTTGACATTTACATTGTGTTCTATAAAGTTCCATACTTGACTACAAATTTTAAATCTTGAATTTACTACTAGAGCTGACAAATTATGAGAAATGTGACCACCTCTGTCAATAAACTTTTTTTTCTCTTTCTCTCTCAGAAAGTTCTGTTGCCAAAGCAAACTGCCAAGTGAGTGCTTGGTCTTCAATGAAGACAGTACAACTCATGGAGGGTAAGAGAGTATTCATCCTATCTTTGAATCACCTACTACACTGTACCTGGCTTTGAGGTACACATCTTTTTTGAGAGAAAATGTTGCTGAGTATTATCATTTTAGGTAAAGCAGGCACTGAGGCCAAACTGGGTGTAATTATTGAATTTGGTCTCTTTCTATAGTGTTTATTACAGAGGTTGCTGGCTGCTCTTTAATTGTAAATCCAAAGAACTTAGATGTCTTCCAAATGGTGTGACTGGAGAAGAGGATATATAAATCCACATTCTGTTCTGTAGGTCTTAGCTTTATAGTAATACTGTTTCTTGCAGTAGGTGTATTGAGGTGAAGACTACAGTAAAGAAGTTAAACCAGACTTGCCTGCAAACCCACAGCAGAAGGAATTAACATATTATAGGGTTAGACCTCATCTATATCTACCTACCTACCCATCCATCCATGCTACAAAGCCAGCAATTTGCCATCTTCAGATAATTAGAATCTAGCCCTTTACTGAGTTTAGAACTCTTTCCTCTAAATTCACAATCTTTTTGTGCATGTGTGTGTTCACAGCAGATCTGAAATATTTCTTGTTTTTTAACTCTCCATAAGAAAAATCACATTTCATGCTCACAACAGAATAAAGAGTATGGAAGAGGACAAAATCTTGAAAAAGGTTGGAAGAAAGAAGTTTCTATCTCTCTTTCTCTCTTCTTTGATATAATTTGGAGATACTTTAAAGGGGAGTTTTCAATGAGAATTAGATTTAGCTTTACTGAGCATCTGTATTAAGGCATTCTGGTCTAAATTCACCCTGTGTTAATCTGCATCTCTTTGTCTCCTTCCTTGGATAGCATTTCTAATCTTTTTTAACATTATTCATTTTCCTTTATCTTAGACTCCCCTCTGTATAGTTAAGTAGGTCCTAATTCATAATGAGAGGGTATAATCAAAGTTACTTAAGGTTACGAAGAGTAACAGTTTTTCCTGTAATGATTGGCTGCTACATAGTGAAAGTCAAACCGAGCGTCTGATGAGACCCCTGGGGACGAGCACGTTTCACAGCTAAAAATTACCTTTTCATTCCATCTCTGCAAATGATGTTCCACTGCTTGTTAGAGTGTGAATAGTTATGGAAAAGGCAGTGGGAATTAACAGAATTCAGATATACCATATGAAAACTTGATCAAAATTTATTTCTGGAAGCTGGCCTTAAGATATCCAATCATTCAATTCCATCAGGAAAAGCATTAGGAGAACTAGAAAGCATCAGAAGGTCATGTAATCCAATCTGGTACCTATTATCTCTACATTACACTGTGAACCCTAAGAAGAGGTTGATTACTAAGAGTTGACTACTACAAGTGGTATAGGTAATTTTCATTATTTGCAGTTGTTGTTTTTACGTGTACGCTTAACACAAACACTGAATTAGCAACTACTGAATGATTGCTCCTAGGAGAAATACAGGATTAGGTTCCTGTGAGCCTCTGGTCACAACATTTTCATGAACTCTTTAATATGTAACATATTTTATATGTGTTTCTGTTTAAAGACATTTTATTTAAAATACATTCTTGATTCATTAACATTGAGCTCATGGCCAACAAGACACTAACTCGTTCTTGCATGAAGCTTATCTAACACATGTATTTGCTCCATAAGGCACATCACAGCCTTCTTGAACTTAGGAAAACAGGACAACTTCATCACTATGGTAGGGGCAGAAGTAAGTGGTGGGGAGTGATTTTAAACAGGAACATGATCAACAAAAAGCACAAAAATGTAAAAAATGACACTAAGTAGACACTCAAAAGGATAATTGTTTACAGTAAAAGAGCTGAAGCAAGAAGGCACAATGTCACCTTGTTCAACCTTAGCTGGGAAAGTAGACACCAAGCAACTCAATTGTTCTGCTATTCTGAATATGTCAATGAATGACTCTGAAAGACTCAAGAGTAGATTTGGGGGATCACAAGTTAACTTTAGCATGTAGCAAAACTTGCCTATATGGAATTTATGAATAATAATCTACTGTTGGAATTTATGAATAATAATCTGATTTAATTACTTAAACATGGCATGAGATATTAATGGGAAAAAGGAAAAAACAGGCATATTTTAGTCCTGCCAGAATTTGAATATAAGAAATGTACAAAAATTATCCAAATTCTGGCATTAATGCTCTGTAAATGAAAATTTGCTACATTCATTTATTTAACAACTTTCTGTTAAGCAATATCTTTGATACAGGCACTATAGTAAGTATTATTTTATAAAAGATTATCATAATAAAATTATTTTAAAATAAGACTGTCAGTTGATAACTTGTATTTACTTTAATATGTTGTTCATCAGTTTATAAATGACTTTTTAATACTAATTATGTAACTATTGAATACTAACAATGTGCAAGCTTACAAATGGGGTAACTTGTAAAATACAAAGAACAAAATAAATGTAATTTCTATCCCCAAGAAGCTTATGTTCCATTCAGTGCAGCAAGGTCAAGAAACATTACACTGGTATGGAATATTCTGTTGTAGGTCATGGTTCAATTAGGACTTGTATATTATAAGCCCATAATCTTTCCAAGAAATGATTAATCTTTTCGGTTTTAAGAACATATCACAGAAAATATAACAGTTGACTTAGGCACTGAAGTGATTAATATAGTTTAGAAAAATGCGCTAGTGTATCAAACTTAAGATAGTCCTACATACAATAATAACTTGAATTCATCTTTCACTACATAGCAGATTTGGCACAGTGCTTTACACATATTATATAATTTAATATTTAAATCAACCTCAAGAAGTAAATATTATCATTCATAATTCATAAAATAAGCTCTGCCAAGGTCAAGCTAAAAATTGAAAATTTAAGTAAGAAACAGTAACAATCTGAACCGAAAATCGTCTAATTACAATCCACTTTGTGATTTAATCTCTCTATGCACTATCTTTCAGGGAGCTTGAACATGAAGCACAACTCCACCTTTGTGAAAGATTCATTTCCAAAAGACCAATTAAGCCACTATTCAAAGATTTATTGATAGAAATATACATGAATTAGTTGATTACCAGAGTTAGGAGAGATTTCATTTTGGAAACATGATCTGATATATCAGATTAAAAATGTAAATCCTTTTTATTTTTCACAATTTTTTTTCTTGGGATATCAGTTATTATCTAAGACATCTATGGGGATTCATGTCAAGGAGCATTACATTTAAAAGAAAAAAGAAACGTGTGCCCAAGTAATTTATGCTTGTACCAGAGGCTTGTATCTATGGACACAAAAGCTTT